ATATTAGAGGGTAATCTTGTGAAATCCTGACAAGAGACAAAGAACGTCTTAGGTTCACAAAAAAAACATAATAACCCCATAGAACTAAGAAGACTGAGGATTGAATCGGCAATAGCAGTCAATGCAATTCTCAATAATATTCAAGTCGATCTTAAAAACTTTAAGATAATATATAAAGGCTTTTACAACTATGAAGAAAATAGAGCCACTGAATCTCTCTATATATTGCCTAATCCTGATGCCTTCAATAGAAAAAATGCCTCACTACCCATCTAACTTGAACTATCCATCCGACCTACCATGTCTGATTCTAGTCACATCTCACACCATTATCCTACAAAAACACTCAGCTTTGTCCTTGTGAGCCACAAATGTCACATCCTTTCATCCTTTAAAATACATACGTACATACAAATATACAGACACTCCTCACGTAATTCGCCTCGACCGAAATGACATGAAAGTAACTTGATTAGACCTTTTTTATTGATCGCACCAAATATTCTTGCTTTGTGCCTTTGCACTACTTAAGCTTGAGTTAATTTGTCCGTTTATTCCCTGTAGAATTAGATTACACTGAGTGATGAAGTGCCAGAAAGTTTAATTTTTCCACACATTGGGATATTACAGATATATCATGTTTATTATTCATCCACGTTTCGTTTTTTCTTAATTTTTTACTACTTGTGTTTCAATAACTGATGAGTAGTGTAGTAAGTAACCTTGAGTTCGTTGGATTTTATTATGTTTTTATGATTCATAATCCTGATAAAGCAGCTCATGTTCGAAGTTTTGTTGCTTTGTTAATTCTTTTAATTCAGAAGATTATTACGGTTAATCCAAATCAGTGTTTATTATATGCATTTGGTTTGCAATGTTTTAAATATCTAGTCGTTGACAAATACACTATCAGCGAAAAGCTAGTAAAACTACATTTGTCGTGGATTATTCTTCAATATTAATTCCATTTTCCTCCTGAAATTTTTGTATACTATTCGCTTACTTAGAATCTTAACATAAAACTCATTTGAATAAGGTGGGAAACCAGAGTCACACATACAATATCTACTACAATTTCTTCGTAGTGCTGCTGTTTTGCATGCTCAGTTTAAAAGTCTTCGTTCCGTACTTATTAATGATAAATCACCACTGGGTTTTGATGCAGTTTTAGAGCAGAAAGTTAGACCAGAAATCTGTGTCTTCCGCAGGCCTACTGTTCCTAAGCAAGGTTATTCGCAAGCTCAGCGAGAAGCATTGTGTGTTTCGGGCAGTTAGACTACATCATAAATATTTAATTGTAAAGAAATTCACTATTGTTACAGAACATGAATTTTTAGAGTTAATTCATCCTTCTGAAAAATCTTTAGCACATTTCTCAGCTACCATGAATTAACAGTGATGTACTGTCCAGATTGCTTGTGACGAAAAAGGGCAAACAAGACCAGAATTCATTGTGCCCAAATGTTTTACGCTATCTCATTCATTCTATACACACATGTTTGTCATTCTTTTCGCACATTCTTCGTCTATGCGAACGTACGAGTGTACTTATACTTGTGTGTACAAATCTTTTTTTAACAGACGATCGGAAAAGAATAAAAACCACGAAGAACATAACGAATAGAAATTTTCATGATATACACTTTCATTGCTATATATTGCTCCATATAGCCCCTTATATTGGGGAAAGGCAATCAGATTATACTGAACATAGCAAGGTATTTGAAGAGTGTTTAAGGACGACAGGCTCGTTGTGCCTACGCTCCTGGCTGACTACGTTTTAGTGTCATCACTAGCGCACTAGGTGGGGGGTGAGTTGTAGGAGTAAATAAATACTCAAGATAAGTAGTTCTGTGAGTTTTCGACACTGACTATTTTTCGTGGACACATCTAGCTGAAGACGCTTGGTCACGAGTTTGCATTAGATCACAAGTAGGTATACCGTGCTGTGCATCTCGTACATTCGTTAGACAACTTAGACCAAACACTTTTCGAGATATCAACAGCCCTCCAAATATATCTTCACATATCTTCATTTCTGACTTCTGATTTGACTGGGTTGGCATACTTCGATTATAAAGGTGTTATGTGTACTTGTGGTATACTTATGTTAATGATCTATTTCGATGGTATTCACGAGGTAAATATGTTGATACAACAAACTGCCCATTAGTACGACTTCTACCGGTGAGCCGTCCTGATCTCATAAGTGAAACTGTTCTATACTTTGGGTGTATACTCAGTGCTATAAGAAAAGTTAGAAGTGCCAATCTGAAACGCAGATTCCATGTCTATTTTTCCAGGAGAGGAAACACGCACCGCTCCTGATGGTATATTGTATATAAATAATCGTGTTGCTACTCCTCATTCATTATGTAAACTCGTCCTTGAGGTTGTTCAAAGTATGCACTAGTGTAATGATTTTTTTTTATTACGATTCTGCGTCTGGTTTTGACTCCGCAAATACAGTGTTTACGGTTATGTTCAGTTTGTTCTCCTTGGCTTCAATACTGTTAGCTACCACGAGCCCCATTATTTCTGATAATCACTTGTCACTCTGTCATTTTCTAGTTGACAATTTATGCCCTTTTGAGCAAAGTATGTTACCACAGTTTTCCTCTTCAGTATTCTCCCACAAAATCTGGTGCTAGTGTACAGATAGCTGTAATTGCTATACGACCACTCAACTTAATTAAAAAATCAGTAAACGTTGCGATTAGTTATTTGAGAGCGACAAGGGAACGTAATTATATGTCAGCACGGCTGATGGACGATTATCATATGATAGACTAGGCTAAATCATTTCAAGTGTTATGTCGTATTAGAAGTGCGTAGCTCTATTTTAATTGGACAGATGGATGCATTGTGCACTGACATTAGACCGAAAGAGAATGACATTAACCATATACAACTTTTGTTTGATAAACATCTTTAACACAATGTATTTGACGTACTACTCTTCTCATCTGCCTCCTATAATCTTGTTAAACGAGAATGACACAACTAGAGTAAAGTACTTCAAGTCTTCTTCAATACTGACCATAAAAACTTCCCTTCAGACACTACTATCGCCACATCTAAACTGGTCAATGCGTCGACTCGTCCAAAAGAATGACACTTCCGAACAACGGCGATCAATTAAGTATGCGTCTCTGTAGGAAAAATATTGATTCGAACTTAGATTGAATTCATGCCCATCTAGATGATTTACCCACATAACTAACTCAAACATTTACAATCAAAGATCATCCTACGTGTAATTCATCATTTGTAAGAACCACCTGTCCAGTATGATGTGCAGAAATCTTCCACTTTGTAGCCTATCCTGAAACTATAGATAACAGATATACGGAAAAATCACCTTTAAATTCGTCCGACGAATTAAAAAATTAATAATAAAGGAATCTGAAAATCCCACGAATCTCGTTAAACTTGGTCATTAGGATCAGGGACTAATGTGGAAGATGTTAATACCTATCAGAGAGAGTAAACTTATTACTATACACAGGTTGGCTAAAATACGGAACGTCCTGTCGAAGGAAGTGTCGTTTGTCTTCATAGACCTCAGTTTCAACATGAGATTAGACAACCACAGATAAATTCCAGTTGAGAACAGAAATATGGATACTAGTCTACTAACCTGCGCCAAGAAAAACTATAGTTGAAAATGTTCATGTAGTGTGAAGTATAAGTTCTTTTAGAATTAGTGACTGGCTGTACTGCAATCGATTAGCATTTTGTAGAGTTACAATGATTTTAGCCATTGGACATCTGAATCTCAATTGCGCTCAATTTGGTGTTTTTTGTCTTTGGTTTAACCAATCTGTACTTAGACCTTTTAGATTTCAGCTTCGTTATGTATCATATCTATTACCTTAACTTACAGAAAGACGTTTCCTTGTCGCTTTTCATCCTTTAGGTGGCTTTCAGGCTTTTTAGAATGGCTTTAACTGCTACGAAGTTGGTTTCAATTACCAACTTATGAGTTTTCTACTCTTTCAGTTTACCAAATAAATTTATGGAATGCAAATTATGTGTGTGATAGGACCTTGTAGGCACGGGTGAAAAATCAGTACACCCAGTGGTTTGTTCGATTTCTCTTTGAAATGTCTGGTTGTAATTTGTGTCTCGTGAAAGATCTTTGGAGTCACTAAATAAGATACCCTATGAACCGGAAAATTGATTTTAAGTGTCATTTCTGAAAACTGGTTCTCGCAAAATATATCCGGTCTTGATATTGTCGTTGGTGGAGTGTGTTGTTTCATTATAGAAACAATAACAACATCGTCTTTGTTGCTTTCATGAATAAATTCCCAGCTGTCGTATATCTGTAAGTCATTTGGCTTCTTTTAATAAGCAGCTGAAAATCGTTGAGGAAAATCTTGGAGGTGGTAACTGTTAGTATTATTTTAATATTGTTAACCTCTGTCAAGTGTCAGAAGCCAAGAGTTATACATAACTTTCCATCAGTAATGTTGATTAGGCCGTAATTTGGTAATCATTGACATAGATCATACATGTTATGTTGTGCCAAGAGATTTTTTCGTATTCTATGTGGTGGATCCACTTCTTGATAACTGACTGGAACATGGGTATAGATTTATATTAAAAGTGAACTGTTCTTCAACAACGGTGTGTGCCATCTATTAACTCCTTTATCCAACCTGAAATATGACTTCGTGATACTTCTTTTATGGTACAAAGATAGTAACCAACATTTACGGACATTATTATTTGTACTTCAGTCGTCTCATGATAAGTGCGCGAGCAAATGTTCAAGTTACAACTAAGTAACTTAGTTTTACAATACTTTTCTTTCCCTTTCATTTCAACGTCTTTTTGTTTTTTTTAATTTTTTCTCTGTCTTTTTGTGAAGTTTGTGAGTTTGAGCTCATCAACCTTTTAGCTCGAGGTCATACGTTGTTATGCCTATCGATTCACATTAAATGTGTTTTTCCACTAAACTATTCAATTTTTCTTTTACTTTCTGTATGTACGAAGGACCAATGAGAATGTCGGTCGCACCAGTTCAACAGGGTCCATTTATGAAGGATCAGTTGGTTCAATTGCGGGCACAGATTAATGCTTTCAAGCTACTTTCCAAATCACAGCCAGTCCCTGAAACATTATTACTAGCGGCCGAAGGAAGACAGTTACTCAGTCATGCACCTATTGTTATGAGTGGACCACCTGCACCAAATGTCCCTGTACAACAATGGAATCAATCTTCTGTAAACTCCATGCAAAATTCACCGTTTGTCGGGTCTCCTCAGTCGTCTGTCGTTCAGAGTGAATTCCATCCGGCGAATCCCGCCCTAGCAATATCTCGAGTAAGACCTAATATCCCACCCAGTTTAGTGGCTGCACGTATAGGTCCCCCAGTAGGCTATCAATCATATACAACCTCATCTTCAAATGGAACCTTTCTGCCTGGGGGTACTGGCACATATGGGAGGAGTAGACTTACTCCTATTCAACGACCTCAGGGTTTGGATCCCGTAGAGCTACTAAAAGAGAGGGAACAGCGTATCCAGTCTCGCATTGCGCAGCGTATCAAAGAACTAAGTAGTCTTTCTGTATCTAGTACATCGGAACAAAGAGTATCATTATTGATTGAACTTCGTGCTTTGCGTCTACTGAATTTTCAGCGACAACTAAGGCAAGACATAGTGTCAGCTATGCGCCGAGACACGAGCCTTGAGACAGCTCTTAATGTCAAGGCGTACAGAAGGCCGAAAAAACAAACTCTTCGAGAGGCTCGGTTCACGGAAAAGTTGGAGAAACAAATGAAACATGAGCAAGAAAAAAGGCGTCGTCAAAAACATCAAGAATTTCTGAATGCTGTTCTTAGCCACGGAAAAGATTTCCGAGAGTTTCATCGTAATGTTAACAGCAGAATGGTGAAAATAAACAAAGCCGTTCTAAATTACAAAGCCAATGCTGAGCGTGACAAAAGAAAAGAACAAGAACGAATTGATCGTGAGCGTATGCGACGTCTTATGGCTGAAGATGAGGAAGGTTATCGCTGTCTTATTGATGCGAAAAAAGACCAGAGACTTCATCACTTACTCACCCAAACAGATGAATTTATTAGTAATTTGACTAAACTTGTTCGTGAACATAAACGAGAGCAAAGTAAGCAGCGTTTTAGGGAACGGTCGGAAAGAAGAAAATTCGCACAGGAATCAGCTCTGCAAAATGCTGTTGTATTCTATCGAAAATTGGCTGATGATGTCATTAAAAACGGTGGACAACCCCCGGCCTATTTTTCTACTCCTCCATCTACTGAGAAATTTCCTGAAGAACTTAATCAAGTAAATCGTGACTGGTTATGTGGCAAAATGTCGTCTTCTAACATCCAGTTACCTGACGTGCGTATACTTATGTATCAAACAACAACAAAAGAAATTGTTGGTGGTGATGCTGCACTTTAGCTAACCAAAAAACAAAGTCCATGCATATGCGTTTCAGCCAAATCCTTGTGTCCGTACTTTGTTACTTGTTTTTATGACGATAGTTATTTTCAGTAAACGATGCGTTATTTTGTCGACCTGTTTGAAAACATGCCACGGTATGCGGCACATTCAATTATTTACGTTACGTATTTGTGTCAATAAATATAGCCCCAATATACGATGTAAGGTGGAAAATTCAACATTCCCAATAATTAACCGACATGAAGGCAAAAAAGCGACGTTTCCACTTTATTTATGCCTTAGTCTGCTTTGATGGTTAGCAATAGCTGAACTTGAAACCCGTCGGCAAAACGACGAGGAAAATCTTCGGCTAGTCGGTTTCCGGATAGTCAGGTCTTGGAAACGAATGCTACCTGGTACCGCGAAGACCGACTAACAGTCCACCATGGATAACTAAAACGGTCAGGAAACTTCTTAGAAAAAGGAAGAATCACTGGAATATGTTCATCTCTACTGGCTTAGAACAATACAGATCCAGTTATTGTAAGATTAGGAATGCCTGTAAAGCGTTAACAAGTAAGACTAGACTATCATACGAAAAACATTTGGTTAGGGTTCTAGATATAGTCCGAAACGGTTATTCTCGTATATAAAAAGGCGAACTCAAAGAAGCGATAGGATTCCATCACTTTTGATACAAGAAAATCCGTTAATCTTGGCAGAAAATGATGCCGAAAAGGATGAAGCTTTATCGGAATATTTTAGTGAAGTATTTTCTATTGGTAATGAGGAACGACCAACGATTCATCGTGACCGTGACGGCTCGCTGATGGATCCTGTAATCATTGAGAAAGGTACTGTTTTAAGGCTATTTCAGCATCTCAAACCTGATAAATCCAGCGGTCCTGATGATATTCATCCTAGGATTATGAAAGCCATATCAGATAAAATTGCTGAACCATTAGCGATACTATTCGACATGTCTCTGAGACAGTCCAGACTTCCTAGAGACTGGAAAGACGCCATAATAAGTCCGGTGTATAAGGCTGGGAGTAGGTATTTAGTAACTATAGACCCATTAGCTTAAATAGTGCAGTTGTAAAACTGATGGAGAAAATCATTCGGATAGCTGTTATAAACTATGTTGAAGGGCGAAAAATCTTTTCTCCAGGGCACAACATGGTTTTCGGAAAGGCCTATCTTGCTTGACAAATCTTCTCATTGCAAGAGAAGATTGGGCTGCTGCAAAAGATCGGAATGTTCCTGTGGATGTGATTTTCACAGATCTAAGTAAGGCCTTTGATAAGGTTTCCCACTCTGGTCTTAAATTCAAACTGGAACGTTTTGGAATCCATTATACAGTCTTCGATTAAATAAGTAACTTTCTCCATGACAGGAGACAAAGGGTAAGGGTTAATGGGGCTCTCTCCTCGTGGGTACCTGTAAAAAGTGGGGTTCCCCAAGGTACAATCCTAGGTCCTCTTCTCTTTTTACTTTATGTAAATGAATTGCCAACTGTAGCAAAACCACCCGTTCTACTCTTCGCTGACGACATAAAGATTTGGAGACCCATACATAGTATGTCGGATAGAATAGTATTACAGGACGATCTTAGCTCATTGGTGGCATGGTTAGACGGGTGTTCACTAGAAGTAAATCCTAATAAGAGTGTAGTGATGCAGTTAAATAACTCTGACGAATCGTATCACTATACACTGCGTGTATTCGTGCTACCCAAAGCAAGAAACTATAAAGATTTAGGAGTCATATTAAGCAATGATCTCAAAACCACTAGTCACTGCAAGGCTGCTGCTGCAAAAGGCTATGGGGTGTTATGGTCAATTCGTAGGTCTTTCCAGTATTTAGACGATGAAATGTTTAGATTACTATACCCGATTTATGTGCGACCACATTTAGAATACGGGATTCAAGCAGCGTGTCCTTGTTTCAAGTACGAGGCAGATATGCTAGAAAGAGTCCAACGATGAGCTACTACGATGATACAAGGTCTATCTGGCCTATCTTATGAAGACAGACTGAGACACCCTAACTTATTTCCGTTATCTTGCCGTAGAATACGGGGTGATCTAATATTGGCCTATCGTATACTGAAGGATGACCTTGGTATTAACATGTCTTATCTTTTGCTTCCGTCTAGAACCGATCATTTGAGGACATTCGACCCGGTCGTGGCTGCATCGACCACATATTCACCATTCGTGAGGTTCTAGAACATAGGCATACTTATCGGCGTCCGACAATGGTGGTCTTTCTTGATTTAAAAGCAGCATTTGACTCAGTAGACCGCGAGATTCTGTGGCAGTGTCTGTCATTGAGAGGCGTACCTCAGAAGTACATAAACCTTGTAAAGGCTCTTTACTCGAACACTACTAGTCGAGTCGGAACATATGGTGAACTGTCATCTGATTTTGCAACCTCAAGTGGTGTCCGTCAAGGCTGTCCACTATCTCCATTTTTGCTCAACTTCATCATAGACCTATTGATGGAAATAACATTCTCGTCGACCGAATTCTCGGGTATTGATCTTCTTCCAGGAGGTCCACTTATCGACTTAGAATACGCGGATGACATAGTCCTGTTTGGTGAAGACGCTGATAGAATGCAGTGTTTTGGTAGCACTAAGCAACAATACCAGAATGTTTGGAATGCGCTTCTCTGCCTCTAAATGCAAGTTGTTGCTTCAGGACTGGTCTGCATCAACACCTGAACTAAGGATAGGAAGTGAAGTAGTCGAACGCGTTGACAACTTCACTTATCTTGGGAGTCTGATCAGCCCTGATGGGTTGGTGTCTGACGAAATCTCAGCACGGATTCGAAAAGCTCGCTTGGCTTTTACCAACTTACTTCACCTATGGCGAATGCGAGATATCTGTCTATCAATAAAAGGACGAGTATACTGCTCAGCAGTTCATTCTGTTTCACTTTATGGGTGCCGAACGTGGTCATTAAGAGTTGAAGATTCTCGTAAGCTACTAGTATTTGACCATAGATGCCTTAGAGATATTGCTGGCGTCTGCTGGGATCACCGGGTAAGTAATAGTGAGGTTAGACGCGTGGTATTAGGGAATGATAGTAAATCAGTTGATGAGGTTGTGAATCTTCATCGACTGAGATGGTTGGGCCACGTGTGACGTATGCCCGAACACCGATTACCACGACGTGCAATGCTAATCGGTGTTCATCTTGTTGTGTTAATGAGGTATGGTAACTTGGACCGATGCATATATGTGCCTGGTCCTACGTTGTAGCTGACTGACTGACATTCGAAGAAAGTTCAGAAACCGAGATCAAACCGTTTACGTCTGGAGTTCCGTTTTTCGCACCGAGTAGTGAATTACTGGAATTCTCTACTGGGACACGTGATATCAGCACCGTCTATTAATATATTCAAAACGAGATTGGAACTCCACAGTATTACAAACTGCGAGGATTAATATAGATCGATAGACCTTCTATCCTTATTACTGAAGATTAGAACGCCTTACCCAAACAAGGAGAAATTGAACCTTCACTGGAAGGCAGTCTGCCAGGATTAACACATATTCACGAACCTACTATCCTTATTACTTAAGACTGAATTTAGTTTACATAGTGTAACATGTGAGTACTTTATATAAAGATTTTTATTAGCATTGACGTATGGATAGTTTGAGGTAGAAAACCTAGTGACTACTAACACATGAAATTTTTAATATAGACGAAGAGTAGGTGTAAATAAAGTGCTCTCAGTACTCTTGACCTTGTAAATCCTCAAATCGCAATGAGTACGACCAAGGTTGTGGCAAACACTTATGAACACAACGAACAGACGTTAATGGACACTTTACTTAGTGTGCTAAATCCGTACTGCTTTAAGGCGACACTGAGATTTTTTTTTACTAAACAAGGTAATAACGGATTTCCTGTGAATACCACGCGTGTCTGCAACCAAATACTGGCTCACAATTCATCGTACGAAGTGTATAACAGGGCGTTTGTTACAATGTCAGACATGTGTAAAATAATGACTAAGAAAAACTAAGAGTGGGGTTCTCTTAATACACATAATTGTATCAAAATCTGAGAGCGCACTAGGGTCTCGGTTTGTCTTTGCTTAATCACCTAAAAATATATACATACAGATAGGAAACTGATACTTATTATTTACTGTCACTGAAACTATTATTAAGACCTCAAATTCATTCGCCTTAGTCGAATTCGTATTTATTATGAAAGTACACAATGGTGCTACTTTGATCAGCTTATCTTTTAGTGACAAAATCAGCATCCCCGAGGTGTGTTCAGTGAATAATAAATACTATCAACACAATAGAATTATAATTGTGTATTTAATTTTCAGTTAAAAGTCATGTTCGAGGTACTACTGCCGTTGATAGTTGGATTGATATGGGGAAGTACTAATATCTGTATGAAGTATAACTCTAACAAAATGCTCAAAGTAAGAATTCTTGTTTCCTGAACTATCTCGCAGCTTTTGGCGTTTTTTTTCTTGAATCAATTCGCCTCTATCTTGTTGATGTTTGGATTCGGATATACACGTAAGTAATCATAAACAAAAATCTGACTTTTAGGATTGTCAAGAGGTGTAGCGATAGCAAACTCAACAGCTTTACTAGCGTCAGCACTTACAAGCTCATGTGTTTACCATGAAAAAATGAAATTTAGCGGTACGTTGCTGTCAACTAAAGTTATCTGTATATAAACTTCTAGGGTCTGTTGGAGTTGTGCTCATATGTGTTGGAACTGGTCTACTCAACAGCTGATGAGTATGATAAAATAAATTTTGTGACACATTTTCGGAAAAAAGTGAAAAATTACCTATACACATTTTCAAGCTATAATGACAGTTGAAATATACAGTTTGAAAATAAGTGTAAGTCGTCAAATTAACCACTGTAGTGTTGCCGTCCATTAAAGTTACCAAAAAAGAATTCCAGAGTAGATATGTGGTTAAGAAAAGAAGTAAGCCATTGTAATCGCACGACTGCTGTCGCACAAATGAATCCGAGTCCCATTATCGTAACCAGCCATGATAGAAGTAGGCAAACAACATTTGATTCAAATGAAAATTGAGGTGCATTCTCATAGTCCGAAGGAAGGACGCGTAGTGGCACACGAGGTAAGAGACCTGTAAAATAACACATTGAAAATAATGCCGAGAACCAGTGTACACAAATAGATACTTGCTGAAAACCTTGTACTCCAAATACAAATTGTGTTGTGTTTCATGTAGCTTCACATTCGTATCAAGTTAATGAGAAACCCGAGGTTTCAGTTTTGTTTTCCCCCTAATGTCCTTGTACGAATGAGTGTGGGAGAAGTCTGTCTCTTCTATCGGAATGCTGTCATATGACCACGGGTTTATAGTCATTGCAGAAGCCCAACTTACTGCTTTCTTGTCTACGAAAGTGAGAGAACCAGTAGTGAATGTCGGACGCCTAGACTACGTAGGTGGCTCCGGGGGATTCACCCAGGGGAAGTCGGGAAACCCTAGTTGCAAACGAATGGTACGTATGGGTTTCATGGTCCTAGAAGATCGAACGTTGTATCAATCCACTTTTGTCACTGGTTACCACAGGACTGTATTTCTGGACGTTCATCGACTACCTTGTGAACTTGACGCTCTAGTCAACAGCTCAATGAATGGCTACTATGAACACAACTGTTACAATTTCTATTAATGCTTAGTATGCTTGGACACTACTTCACTCGAAAAGTCTCAAGTCAGAACACGATTGAACAGGAACGTGATTATATTCCAATTGAAAGGGTAGAATGGAGGTAGGGATCACAATAAAAAAAACGTTAGTAATTTATAATTTTGACATAAGAAAATTCTAGTCTTCTCAAGGACTCTGCTAGCGCTGATTGGCTAAAAAATAGCCAATGAGCGTGCCCCAACAAAATCTTGCACGGGGCATGCCCCCTGAATGCCCTGGTACGGCCGAGAGTGGGGAGAGTCCGCTCTCCCTCTCGAAATACTCTCACACGGCCACGCGTATACAGCCTCTGCCAGGGAAGTCCTACTCATTGCCTTCTCGTGGCGGGGGTGTTGTCTACGAAAATGAGAGGACGAAAAGCGAATGTCCGGCGCTTTAACCGGTTTCCAAATCAATGGTGCACATGGGCTCCAGTATCCTGCGGGAACGAATGGCGTATGAACCAATCGTTGGTCACCGGCTACCATGGGACTGCATCTCCTTACGATGCTCCACTGCCTTGTGGGTTAGACCTTTAGGTCAAAGGCTCGGGGAGTGGCCCCCTAAGATAACCACCTGCTTCGGTTTGGGCACCCGGGCAGTATCACAGCCCACACACAAATTGATGAACTCTTTATGCCTATGGAAATTGCCTTTCTCGCTTTGAAAAACAATCAATTGATTCAGATTATTATCATTACAATTATTGTCATTATTAATACTAATATTATTATTTTCCACATTATTCACCCTCTTTTATACCTATACAGCGGCTCGTCTTTGGTGGAAATTCGACTGTATCTAAACGTTCTCGAGTCACTGTCCGGTTGAAAATTGTATGTTACCACCGAATACGAGCACTGAAGCAGTTTTTCTGAAACCACGTGCGCCATTCAAACTGGCTGCCTTCAACGTTCGCACATTTATGCAGGTCGAACAACAGATAGGGCTGGCTATGTCTTTGGAAAGTCTTAATATCGACGTGTGTTGTCTATCCGAGACCCGTATTCAAGACTCTGGCGAAGTACTACAAATTCGATCTCCATCTGTCGCTTCAAAAAGCTTGTTTTACGTGCGCTTATCCGGGGACCCTGTGGCATCTTCGTCTGGTCTTGCTGGCGTTGGTGTCGCACTAAGCGCTAGAGCTGAGGCAGCACTAGTCGATTGGATCCCCATTAACAGTCGGTTATGTGCTGTTAGATTAGAAAGTTCCATCAAAGTGAGAAGAAATCGGCGTGAGAAACGATGTCTTTTCGTCATCTCCGCCTATGCCCCGACAGATTGCAGCCCGGATGCAATCAAGGATGAGTTTTACCACCAGTTATCAGTTCTTCTCCAGAAAGTGCGTTCGACAGATATTGTAGTACGAGCCGGAGACTTGAATGCTCAGGTCGGGCGTCTAGGCACAGAAGAGAGTCGTTTAGGTGGCCGATGAGGACTCGTTGGTCGCAGGTCAGATAACGGGGACCGTCTACTGCAACTGTGCACAGACCACAACCTGTTTCTGGCTAGCACTAACTTTCGGCACAGTCATCGCCGATGTGCCACCTGGCGTCCTCCCTCTGCATCTCAAGCCTGGACTCAGATTGATCACATCGCGATCAGCTACCGCTGGCGTGGTTGTGTACAAGACTGCCGCTCCTTTTGGAGTACCTATCTGGACTCTGACCATGCCTTGGTCTGCGCCAATCTTGCCTTACTTTTCAGTGGACAACGAAGTGACCGCCAGCAAAGGATTGATATTAGCAAGCTGGTTGCAACTTCTGTTGCAAGTAAGTATCGAACCGAGCTAGCCTCTAGGCTAGCTACCACTCCACCGAAAAGTATAGATGAGCATTGGTTGCAATTGCGTGACGCCATGAAAATGGCGGGTACAGTCAGTTGTGGGTTTGCGAAACGTCCCGTTTTAAGCACTGGGTTTCTTCTGGTTCCTTACAACTCATTGAAGCCCGTCGGTCTACTCCGGGTGACCGTGAGTTTGACCATAAACGAAGGATGATACGTAAGGAAATTGGGCAAAGCTTGCGTAAGGACCGAGAAGCCTGGTGGTCGATGCGTGCTAATGAGCTGGAAGCAGCAGCTGCATCCGGTAACTACCGGAAGCTCTTCCAGCTCATCCGAGCCACTGGCAGCAAGAAGTCTGGTGTGAGTGAAACAATCTGCGAGGATGATGGGATGCCAATCACTAACATCCATCGACGTCTTGGACGATGGGCAGAATTTTTCGAAGGGCAGTTCAACTGGCCTGCTGCTCCGGCAACATCGGTCAGACTGTCCTGCCCTCCATGGCCGGTGACGACTGATCCACCAAATGAGGAGGAAGTCCGCAAGGAACTTCAACTCTTGAGGCGTTACAAATCACCTGGCCCAGATGACTTACCTCCGGCTCATTTTAAAGATGGTGGTGACTTTTTGATTAAGGAATTGACGACGTTGTTTACAAAGGTTTGGGAACTAGAGAGTGTACCAACGTCATGGAATGAGTCGATAGTTGTCCCTATCTTTAAAAAGGGTTCACGTCGTTCCTGTAACAACTATCGGGGGATAAGTTTACTTCCGATTGCGTCCAAGCTATTGGCTTCCGTCATTCTTCGTAGGTTGTTCAAAACCCGAGAAAGATTGACTCGCGAGGAGCATGCTGGGTTTCGTTCTGGTCGAGGATGTATTGATCATATCTTCACCCTCCGCCAAATGTTAGAACACCGCCATACTTATCAAAGGCCAACAATCGTAGTGTTTTTTGACATCAGGGCTGCCTTCGATTCGTTGGATAGGACTGTTCTCTGGGATTGTCTATTGAAGAAGGGTGTACCTGAGAAGTTTATTAACATCCTAAAAGCCCTGTATAAAAACACCTCAGGCAGAGTGAGGGCATACAACCACCTCTCCCCATTGTTCCATTCGAGCAGTGGGGTTAGGCAGGGTTGCCCAATCTCACCATTCCTCTTCAACTTTGCCATCGATGACATTCTGGAAACAGCTCTGATGAATGTAAGTAATGGTGGTGTGGATCTGTTGCCCGGAGAAAGACTTCTCGACCTTGAGTATGCGGATGATATTGCCTTACTGTGCGATAATACCCAAGGCATGCAATCCGCACTTAATCAGTTGGCAATCAGTGTCCGTAGGTATGGTATGTGCTTTGCACCTTCGAAGTGCAAAGTACTTCTACAAGACTGGCAGGATTCCAATCCTGTACTCACCCTGGACGGTGAGCAGATAGACGTAGTTGAGAAGTTCGTGTATCTGGGTAGCTGCATAAGTGCTGGTGGGGGTGTGAGTGATGAGATCAATGCACGAATAGTGAAAGCCAGAGCGGCTTATGCCAATCTGGGCCATCTTTGGCGCCTTCGTGATGTTAGTCTGGCTGTAAAAGGCCGGATCTACAACGCGTCGGTGAGAGCAGTTTTGCTCTATGCTTGTGAAACCTGGCCTCTCCGAGTTGAGGACGTTAGACGACTCTCTGTGTTCGATCATCGCTGTCTCCGAAGGATCGCTGACATTCAGTGGCAACACCATGTCAGTAATGCAGAGGTTCGGCATCGTGTGTTCGGGCACAGAGATGATAATGCAATTGGTGTCACCATCTTGAAACACCGACTTCGGTGGCTTGGACATGTTCTCCGAATGTCGTCCCAGAGAATTCCACGTCGTGCATTATTTGCCGACTCTGGGACTGGTTGGAAGAAGCGGAGAGGTGGTCAGTGCATGACATGGTGTCGTGGCATGAAAGAAAGCTGCAAAGGACTGGCTTGTGTTGGTCCTTCACGACTCCCTGTTTGGGGTCCTAGAGATGGTGCTACACAGTGGCTAGAGACGTTATCAGATATGGCTCAGAATAGAAGCCAGTGGCGATCCTGCTGTAACCTTCTTTTACTTTCTTCATAAAAAGTGGTTGTGTCTCCTTTATCTGAAAGATTTCTTCTGATTGTACCTTGTCGTTCCGTCGTTACTACCACACTACCTTACTCCAATCTCTTCGTCATTGTTCTCTTTTTCTTTTGCGTTCCTTAGTTTTTTTTTCTCTTTCTACTTCTCTTCGACTTCCCATTGTTTTGTGTGGC